GGCGGCTGCGGCGCGCGTGCCTGACGGCCCCGCCGTGGCCGCGACCTGGAAACGCGAAATGGAGAGAGTGCGGCTCTCCGGCGCTGAGTGGAGGTTACGCGCTGAGTGGGAGAGCGCGACCCACCCTGTCCTTACAATGCGGGAATGAACGAAAGTGGGGAACCGCGGCAGAGCGGGCGCTGAACCCCACGGAAGTGCCTGCGAAGGACGCAGGGAAAGAGGGAGCGGGTGCGGGTCAAGTACCGTGGGGAGCGGACGAGGAGCTGCGCCGCGTTGAGAGCGGGACTGGAGCGAGCCCGCCGGGCCGCCGTGGGGGGAGCGCGAGCGGGCGGGTCGGCGGGCGCGGACGTAGAAACGCGCCCTCTTCGGGGAGAAGGCCGGCTCGGGCGCTGCGCGGGGAAGCGGGCTGCGAGGTTCGGCTCTAAAAGCTGTTTGGCCGCACAGCCTCCCCTCCGCCGGTGCCCCGGCGCTCGGCCGACAGCTTTGAGGGTGGAAAAGCTAGAGGCCGAGTCGGCGGGAGGCTTGTGAGGGGGATGCTGCGGGAGTGAAGGCGAGGGATCGCCAGGTTCCGTGCTAGAGACTAAGGACGGGGGGCAGGGGCAGGGGCAGTACTTAGGGGGTGACATGGGAAGGACTTAAGAAGAGACTTTAAAATGGCCCCCCGATTTCCAGCTCGGTTCCCCAGGAGAGGTCAGAGCATCGAGGGAAATGTGGGGAAAGTATGAGAGGAAGAAGGTCAGTTTGGTTTGTCTATATATATCCACACTTTCCATCGCGCGTTTCTCCCCTGCTCGCCGCGAAAGTCTTCCCGAGGTGACTAACAACCCCAGCTTTCTAACTATGGGGGTTACTTCGCTGTTCACATTTTACTCCGATGTTCAGCATCACTTGATGCCAAGGAGATAGCCCCTGCTTTTAGCCTCCTGGAGACTGTACTTACCCTCCGCCTCCCTGTTAGGGTCTGTTCTGGTCCCACCCAGCCACCCCCGCGAAACTACAGAAGCCAACTTGTGTCCCTGACCGACTTCTGTGATCTAAGTTACATCCTGACAGGCATCTGCTGGAACCTGTTCCACCCGAAGGGGTCCTGCCCGCTCGAACAAAGCCTCTTGCGCGCCAAAGTCAAATCCTCCTGCGCAATAACCGCCCTGCACCTCTACACCTGTGTATAAACCCAAACTCCTGGCGTCTGGACGGGCGGTCTCTAGCCTTACAGTCCCCTCCCGTCACTCCCATTCTAATAAACATTTCCCTCTGTCTGTGGCGGTGCCTCCGAAGTGCTCCCTCCACTTCCCCTCCTCCTCAGTTTTCTGGGTTCTCTCATTTGCTGTCTCGTTTGTCAGCTCCCCTTTTTCCACCCAGATTTTGCAAACTTTGTTCAAGTACTCCAACACACAGACCTGCGCTCTTCCCCTCGTCTGTTCCCATAGTTTTAAAACCCTTGCTGTGCTATCCGATAGGTAAATAATACTCACCTTGTGTGCCTTTGGAGCACTTGAAATATGGCTAAGTCGACGTGAGATGTGCAGTAAGTGTTTGTTTTGAGGTTTTCCATGGGGTTTTTTGGTCTTTGAGACAGGGTCGCACTATGCAGTTCAGGCTGGCCTCAAACTCACGATGATCCTCCTGCCTCAGCCTCCCAAGTGCTGGGATTACAGACATGCACCAGCTTCATTCTTTGGAAAAAAAAAATTACATTGTACGGATGTATTCTCTCTATGTAGCAAATCTCTATTGATACACGTTTAAATTGCTTCCAGTATTTTACTGAATTGCCTAGACAATGATCATTTCACATATGTTGACTTTGCCTGCGGAATAAATTTTTAAAACCTCAGTTGTGGGCTGGGGATTTAGCTCAGCGGCAAAAGCGCCTGCCTGGCAAGCGCAAGGTCGTGAGTTCAGTTCCCGGTACCGGAGAAAAACAACAACAAAAAAAAAACCTCAGTTGCTAGTCAGACAGTAGGTATATTTTAAAAATTTTGTTAGGTGGTACCAAATCGTTCATATTAAAAGTTTTTCCTGTTTACAGTTTTGTGGGCAATGCAGACAAGAGCCTACTTACCACACCTTCCCTAGTCAAGCTTCTTACCAGTTTTCTTTGGTCTTTGGGAATCAGTGAAAAAACACTGTCATCGTGCAGCCTCAGTTTGCATTTCTATTACATCAAAGACGCCTGAATCTCTATTTATTTATTCATCTATTTTTGCATTGCTGGGGATCGAATCCAGAGTCTCATGTGTTAGTCAAGTACCCTAACCCTGAGCTACATCAACAGCACTCTGAACCTCTTACTGTATAAAATCGTTTGTCTTTTCCATGAATTCACTTTATGTCCTTTATTTTTTCTTGTGCGTAGCTGAGGTGTTTTTTTTTTTTTTTTTTTTGTTAGTGACAAAATTAGTTCTTTGCTGCTGGTATGAGTTACACTGTGATTATTTTTTTAATCTACTCTTTTAATGCCAAATTATCTCTCTTTTTTTTTTAAGAACTTAAGATATTTGCTCCCCACATAAGATTTTTAACATCTGTATAAGT